TAATAGAGAACAATGAGAATAAATAAATAGTTTTGAACACAAGTAACGCAGGCTCAAGTTTACAGGAAAGTGAGTGAGTGAGTGAGTGAGTGAGTGAGTGAGTGAGTGAGTGACAGATTCGTCCCCCTCCAATAACTCTTCGATTGCTTCGCAATCTTCGAGTTAAAAAAGGTTGTCGGATAAAATGGCGAATGTCAATGGTCGAACGGCGATTGCACGACCGAAAGTAGCCATGGGTTTTGCTAGTTGAAAGGCAATAACAACTGATTTGTACTGTAAGATGGTCTGTGGTAAACATTGGCTCCATTTAGTCTCCATTTCTATGTAAGGCTAATCCAATAAGTGAAATTTTGTTTATCAAAACASTMTWYCCAWAYTCRCTTTCGGRCGMGCAATCTCCCTTCGACAATCGCCGTTCGCCGTTCTCCCCGACAACGTTTTTTGAAATAGCTGTATTTCTTTAGAATTTATTTTTTATTCGCTTGTATAATTTAATCAAATCAACCGGTGTATATCCCTTGTCGAGTACAATAACTTGGTTTGTTACATAGTAAATAAATGGCTAGAATGACTCAAAACTCAATGATTAAACTCTTTATACAATAAAAGGAATATTATTTTGCTATTGCGGCTCTCTTTACTTCAAATAATTACAATTATACTACTATTCGATTGAGTTTCAACACACAACGCTGCACAACGCCGTGATCCGCCAAGATTCGATGGAATCAAATGCGTTTTAATGAAGTGTACTTTCCTCCTAACAACTAAAGCAGCCAATTTCGGCTGTCCCTAAATACTTCTAGAGTAGTTTTTATGGCAAAAATGTCTATAAAACACATTTTATATATACCGTAACGTTAGGTAGCGGGCATAAGCCGGCATAAGTCCCAAGACGATGGGCGGATCTGCGAGACATTCGGGGCATTTACAGATGATATTCCATGGTCCAATGAAGCAGTAGTGCTTACTCGACARAATCYTTATGRTTAAAAGCTTCTAGTACGAATATAATTGAAGATATTTCTCGATGAAATCAGTGGTTTTTTGGTGTGTTTGTATGGCGTGTTTGGGTTCAATGTCTGAGTCCATACGGGGTCGCATATTAATGTATCTATTTTTAGTAAATGTGTGGAGCGCTATTGTCTAATGTATATTCTATATTAATTGTATACACTGTGATTGATTGGATTTTTTAATTTTTGCAAACACTTTTTGTCATAA